CCCTCCAGGAATTTGACACCAACTGATATAGTGCAACATTTAAACAGCAAATGTTCCAGCATCATTACTGCAGTGTCCATCATCCTCTAACATCCTGATTTCTGATCATCGGCTTTAAGAAATCACTTATTTATGATAATAGGTGATGCATTTTATTTTTCAGGATTCACAGAGGGCAAAAAAAAAAAAAAAAAAAAAAAAGAGCGGCATCATTTAAAAAAATAGTCAAATCTTTGTAATGTTACAAAATGTGTGTGTGTGTGTGTGTGTGTGTGTGTGTTGTAGTAGTTACCGCCGTTATCGGCATTAACGTGCTGCACTAATCTATTCTCAATGTTGGGTTGGGAGCTGGGTCTGTTCTACGCAAGCTATGATGACTTTCAGCACTATATTTTAGCGCGGATGTATACCTGACCGGTGAGCCGTTTGTGTGTATAACGTGTCTATTGTGTGTGTATGTGCACAGGGAGGCTGGGGGCCTGTGTTTGTGTAAACTATCACTATGTTTGAGTATGTAGTGTGTGTATGGTGTGTGTAGTGTATATTGCGTGTATAGTGTGTGTGTGTGTGTAGTGTATAGTGTGTGTGTGTGTGTGTATAGTGTGTGTGTACCGGTAGGCTGGGAGCCTTTGTTTGTATGTACTGTGAGTGTATGTTTGAGTGTGTAGTGTGTATGTGTATGTGTACCGGGAGCCTGTGTTTGTGTGTAGTGTGAATGTATGTTTGAGTGTATAGTGTGTCTGTAGAGTGTATGTTTGTATGTATAGTGCGTTTGTACCGTAAGGCCGAGGGCCTGTGTTTGAGTGTAGTGTGAGTCTACAGTGTGTGTGTGTGTATACCAGGAGTCTGTGTTTGTGTGTACTGTGAGTGTATGTTTGTATAGCGTGTGTGTGTGTGTGTGTGTGTGTATAGTGCGTTTGTACCGTAAGGCCGAGGGCCTGTGTTTGTGTGTAGTGTGAGTCTACAGTGTGTGTGTGTGTGTGTGTATACCAGGAGTCTGTGTTTGTGGGTACTGTGAGTGTATGTTTGTGTAGTGTGTGTATAGTGTGTTTGTACCGGAAGGCCGAGGGCCTGTGTTTGAGTGTAGTGTGAGTCTACAGTGTGTGTGTGTGTGTGTGTACCAGGAGTCTGTGTTTGTGTGTACTGTGAGTGTATGTTTGTATAGTGTGTGTATAGTGCGTTTGTACCGGAAGGCAGAGGGCCTGTGTTTGAGTGTAGTGTGAGTCTACAGTGTGTGTGTGTGTGTGTGTACCAGGAGTCTGTGTTTGTGTGTACTGTGAGTGTATGTTTGTATAGTGTGTGTATAGTGCGTTTGTACCGTAAGGCAGAGGGCCTGTGTTTGTGTGTAGTGTGAGTCTATAGTGTGTGTGTACCAGGAGTCTGTGTTTGTGTGTACTGTGAGTGTAGGTTTGAATTGTGTGTATGTGTGTGTATAGTGTGTTTGTACCGGGAGGCCGGGGGCCTGTGTTTGTCCCTGGCCGTAATAAGCTCCCTGCTGTCTGTAATACTCCACCCAGGCGGCGCTGTAGTCTGGAGGAGAACTCTGCTGAGAGCCCGGTCCGGCTGCCTGAGCTGCACACACACACACACACACACAGAGAGACAGAAGCGTGAGCACTGAGGGTCTGTTCACACTGACTGACCGATGCAGCAGGACGGCAGCTCTTACTCTGCTTCTTGTAATACTCCTCCCAGGCTTTGCTGTAGTCGGGGCCGCTGCTCTGGCCCTGGTTCTGCTGACCTGCAAACGACAAAACACCAGTAAACACACACACACACACACACACACACACACCTGAATCATAGCGGCCAGGAAAATAATAAACGCATTCATGTGTTCATTTACACACGGGCAGCTATTAATGCATCCATCTTGAATGACTTTTGTAACTGAGCTCTCTAATAAACCTTTGCATGTCAATCTCACAGCTCTCATTCCACAGCAGAAGGGGAAACCAAGAGCAAACATTAAACACCGCAACAGTCTTTTCAAGAGTTCACACTTATCTGAGGATTGAATATAAAGCTTGTTTAGCATCACACATAGTGATCGCTCTTCAGAGAGAACTACTGACTAGCAGCATGTCTATGTGCTGATTTGGATTAGTCGATTAACTTATGTTGCATGCTTTTGGATGGTGGGAGGAACCCTGGGAAACCCACGTGAGCACGGGGAGAACGTGTAAACTCAGCGCAGAAACGTCAGCTGGCTTGGTAAGGACTAGAACCAGTGATGTTCTTGCTGTGAGGCAACAGTGCGAACCACTGGGCCACCCATCTAGGAAAGGAGGAGGAGCAGGGGTGGAAGGGGGGATTCCTCAAAATGAAGATGGCTGTGATATGGAGCTGAGGGTGTTTACAGTGGATTAGGAATCATCTGATTGGTCAATCCTAAATGGAATAATGCAGGACCAGCTGTGATCAATCATAAACACGTGATCCTCTCGACATTAGTTTAATCAAACAATAAGTGAATTTATAAACACAGACTGCAGCAGGAATATAGCGCACTGTCACTTTAAGAGCTGCATGGATCCAGTATACTGCTACACATGCATTTCCACTCGGGATTCTTTATGCTAATCAATAACAATCAAGCATTTGTGTGATTGAATCACTGAGCACTGCAGGTTTACATGCAGATTTGCATGCATTTGACCATTTCTCAACTGAGTTCTCAACTGGTTTGGCCATGGGACCCACATTTTTACATGGTCATCAACCCGCGGCCCAAATTTTTAGGAACTATAATGTAATATTAGGAATTATAATTCATTTGTATTTATTTGTTAACATACACAAGCAGTGACCGATAAATCATAAGAAAATCACCAAGACTTACAAATAAACACTATTTTACTGCTGTCGTTTAACAAAATGTGTCAAAATATGGAAATATTACAGAGTAAAAACGACAAATGTTTTGTTTCTAAAAGTGCTCTTGTGAGAGCACATCACTACGTATGACACACTGAGCTTTTAAGCCTTGTTTGTCGTAAATATATATGTAAATCCATACTTTACATATTGGGCGTGGTACTTCAGCTTCGACATATTTGTTGCTATAATTAAACAAAATTTCAAATGTTCAACGGTACAGTTGTTGCTCGCGCATTTCAAAATAAAAGTCTTATATAAGCAAAATAGGTTAACAATTAAACCTTTGTTGTTGTTTTTTTGACCGCACACTCTGCGACAGACTGAATACGTTCCCGCGACCCACTGAAAATGTTCCAGAGACCCACTTTTTCGTTTTTTAAATAGCGGGTTAAAAAAAACGCACTGAAAACGTATTAAAAGGTGAGTGAATTATA